AAAAATGTTCATTCTTTGAAAATTGGAAGGAACATTTAACGATGCATAGGAAACCATAAGAAAGGAGAGTATTTGATAGTGAAATGAAAATGCATATATTTTCAATGGAAGCAGACTTCTCTTTACTTCTGTCGAATTTATTCTATCAAACTCATGTGTAAACACAAGACATCGATAACTGCGAAACTTAGCATAAGCTCGTTTAAGCTTCTTACCGATGAGTAGTTAATGAGTTACACATCCTTTATTGCTAGTCTGTCGAATTTTAAGCCCCATGCATAACAAGTTGTTACATGAAATTCTAGCGGTGAAGCTAGAATACGTCGCTGCTCTAACTGTACTTCTACATTTGAAATTTCTAGTATTCTATTTCAATGTAAATAAATAATATTCAGAAATTTTAATTTGATTTTATTTTCCAAATACGCTTGAACATTCAACATTTCTATATCAACGTAATGTCATAAAATACATTAATGAGTCTGAATAGCCATCTGTTTAATTACTCGCAGTTGGATTAAACCATAACAGATTTTCAAAATTAATAAAAAGAGGAATAAAAAGGTGGAAAAAAATGCGTTTTGAATAATTGAATTCTAAAGGCAATATCCTGGAATAAAATTCCGGTGGAACAATCGAGCAGTAATTAAAGGCGAAATGGCTCGATTTTCTCCAACATTCCAGGGGCTGTACGTCAAGATTTCGAGCGCAAACGTATAGCTGTCGTCCCAGGATAATAGCATTAGATTAGACCTAGTGAGGGTTGCGGCTCTCAATTGGACATTCTGGGTGATAAGTCAGCATAAATTGTCGCGTAAACGGCTATTCGTGGACTGTGGAAGAGACCACACGGGCTTTTCAGGATTAAACCTCTGGCGCGTGCAATCAAAAGGAGCGCGGCGAAGTCTGACGGTGCGAATTTTCTTTGGCGATAGCTTTGTCACATCGTGAGAATTTCAATATGATTTGCCGATACAAGGATTTCCGAAAGCTAAGCTAAGCATAGCCTTGCTCATAGCACATTACGACTCGTTTGTTACTGCATTCTTTATTGTATTTACGTCGTCGATAGGGGTGACTTGTGAATCTTCGAGTGTAGCATTGATAATATTAATGTTGGGTCGTCGTCTAATACCTTTAAATATAATGTGACGATGACCAATTGATTTATCTAAATGAATCTATCATGTATTCAATCAAAATTAGTCGCTTTTCTAGATTATAAATTTTATAATGAAAAAACAATACAATTTCCAATTGGTAGCTGAATATTTAAATCAATAATGGAAATTAATATCTCAAAATAGTTAATGCTTTGGAGTATATTTAATCGCAATATATTATGAGATCTTATTAGAGAAATTATTGTTTTTCAAAAAAAAAAAAAAAAAAAAAAAAAAAAAAAATAGAATCGTATTACATCTATTGAATTGATTGTATTTAGTTATTATAATTCATAATTTCATGAAAATTTTAATTAAATTACAAATTGAATATTATAATCTCTAACTCTGTCTACTTTATAAAGAATTAAATTTATATAATTGGAATGGAGATGAAATGGACAGCCAGGAGAATGAAATTGATTCCATGGATACTGAGTTGAGTTCAGGCTGTTTAGAATTCTCAATCGATATTTCTAATTCAATTTTGTGAAATTTCGTTTCATCGATGATTATCATTTAACATTTGTTTTAGCATTTTATTGACTATTTACATTTTCAAAGAATATTATACTAAAGTTTCTATTCATAAATAAATATCTATATCGTAAATAATAGTTGTAATGTATAAATTAGCTACTAATGATGTAGAAATTAGCTATTAAAAGCAATTCAAAGTAAATATGAAAGAGAATTAAAAACATTAATTATTTTCTTAATACAAATAAAAAATTTTTAACCTTCATTATATGGTATCTATATTTCAGTTAAAATAATTAATAATTTACGGTATACAATATTCAATTATATAACATTTAGTCAACATTGTAACTATTAAATATCGTGCATTAACTGAATTTTTTAATATTACACTTAGCATAGACACTAAAATACTTCAAATAATTGTACGAACGTAATAAATCATATAATAAATAATATATAATGATAAGATTGATTGCAATACTCTGCATAATTAATTCTCTGTATAATATGTGTTTTCTTATATACTTTACCTTGAAATTGAGAACACGATCTTTTATGAACAAGTATTTAATATAATGTTAATACGAAAGCGTCTCGTTTTAAGGTTTTAATTATCAGATCATGTTAATGAATATTCTGAGTACATTAACTTTACATATAATACATATTAATATTTTATAAACTGATAAAAATTATTAAAAAAATAAAAAACTGTGAGTTTCGCGTACATTGTTTAATATTCATTTAGCTTAAAATTCTGAAATCTTCATGTAATTCTACATATTCCTTTAATGCAGTAATGAAAAAATATAATGTACTTTATATTTTATAAAATTGACTATTCGTATAAGTAATAAAGATCAATTAGAATTTAAAAAACAAACTGCAAATTCCTTTATCAAAAAGTTTTTTCTTTTCCTCCCAAGCCGTTTTAAGTATTATCTTATTCATTTTGGCTTCATCCCGTTTTATTTAAAAAATTAGCATTAAAATTTACTTTCGGCTCCTTAAATAGAGATTTCGTTGTGTGCACGTGTCCGCACGCACGCACGCACGCACGCACGCAAGTTTGTATGTACATTTAATGTGAGTGTAGTGGAAGTCAGCCTCGGTAGAAAAGTGACAACGTGCGAGGTAGTGTCGTCGCGGTACTTGTATCAAAGCCATACAGTTTCCTCTCTAGAAATCCGTAATTCATTTCAGAGCAATTATTCGAATCTAATTAAAACTCGTACTATGGCGCCACTGCCACCACCTACTATGAAGAATACGATGCCGTACCACCACCCTAGTCACTGTAATAAAGTCATTAATTCACAGAGTTGAAGGAAAATGGTGATATATCGACGACTTCGTTATATGAACTTTACAACTGTAAACTTTGTTATGAACTCCACTTAGTTAATTTTATCACGTAGGTTCAATGGCCAGAAGATGTCTTAACGTTTTCGTGGTTTCATATGTATATGATTTGATTACTCGATCCACGAATATGGAAACTAATAAAAAAAATATTGTAATTTATGATTTATAATCCTTTTGATACATACGAACAAATTATTGTATACTAATTGTCACGTTTATTTTGAAAAGTGCAGACGATTAATAATTTAAGATTTAATATTAAAATATTCTGTAAAATTTAAGTTAATATTACTTTCTATTTATCAGGTTAACAGAGCTCTGTAATGAAATTATAAGCCTTGTCAAATAAATAAATAATTGACTGAGATTTTTTGTAAAATGAGTTTTAAAAAGTATTATAAAATTTTAATAAGATTTATAAGCAAAAACAAATTCCAATGAATTCCTAAGATAATGAAGTAAAAAGATATTGTGCGATCCATTAGGCAGCATAACTTGTCTAGCAACAGAACGATCAATTTAAAAAAAAAAAATTCCAATATATGTATTGTATTACATTCAAATTCAAATTCATTTGCAATAATAATTCATCCAGTCATAACTACCACATAGACAATTGATTTGAATGTAAAAACCATGAAGTATACTATGCAGACAAGCTATTCACGTGTCAAGAATCTTCATATTCAACAAATTTCACACGAGATAAGTGAAGTGAGGTGTCGTTTACCAGCTCTCGCAAGAATCTAATAAATGGCTTTTACCAAATCCTGCCAAGTCATATCGATGATACTCTTGTGGAATTGAGTAGACAGTTTTTGCGTTTAATTAATAAAATCACACAATTTTTCTAGCTCTTTTCATAAACGAATATAAGATTATGTCGCGTATTAAACGAGCCTACTTTGTAGTCTCTACTTGTACAATTACAAACACTATTAGCCATAAATAAATTATTTAAATAATTTTTAATGTATCATAATATATTTATATTCAAACGAAATTTTTGTTTTTATAAAGACTTGGACTATCGGAAAATTAATATATAAATACTTGTATTTTATCATATTTTCATAAGCTCTTTTATTGTACATAATATCAAAATAATTAGAAAATAAAATAATGTAATGAAAAAACACACTATAGCCCATACTAATGAGTCTGTATCCATTATAATATGATAATATAATTTTTGCTTTATAATGTATTCCCAACATTCAAGAAATTTTTTAATAATTACAGCACCTTTTTACTATATTATCATAAAAATTCTTAATTCTGTTCTTAATTATATAACTAAACTGTCTGAAGATTAATTAATTATATTAATATAATAATGCATATTTTTCGTAACATTTACAAAATTTATTTACAAGTTACATCAAATTATAGCATATTTCAACATGAAATAGGTGATGTATTATTTCGACTATAAGTGGTTAGAAGCAACGGTTACAAATGCATAAAATTGAAGAATTTAGAATTTAAAAATCATTTTGAGAATTATCTATGAATATAGAAAGTTCATAATATGTAGGGGAGGAATTAAATTGTGGAAATAGCTTTGAAACAAACAATTTGAATCAACTAGAGTGTTAACAGCTACTAATTTTCAAAATATTTAACACGGATATGTAATTTGTGAAAATGGAAAATATTTCTGAAATCGTGCGTTATTCAAATACACCAACTTCTCATATCAACATTATTGAAATGTCCAAAAAATATCCAATCTATCCGAGTTAAAATAAACTTATTATTATTATTATTGTTGTTGTTGTTGTTATTATTATTGTTGTTATTATTGTTATTAATGTTGTTGTTCTTATTATTATTATTATTATTATTATTATTATTATTATTATTATTATTATTATTATTATTGCCTGGGAAATTTAGAGACACCGTGTAAATTTAAACTTGTTCGGTTACAATAATAATTGCATGGTCACATATTGTAAATGGAAAATATCTTATTTTATGTTGCAGGTGCAATATTTACAGAAGATCAGAAGGACAGTCCCTCAGAGTTGGCATTTAAATACTCAGTTTATAAAATTAATAAAGAAAAAGTCCTTTTGCCCAATACCACTGTGGTGTACGATATCCAGTACGTGCCTAAAGACGATTCGTTTCGAACGTCAAAGAAAGGTCGGTAGAAACATTATTCAAATAATAATGGACGATCTCACGCTTCGTTAAAATTATCACAGCTTGTTTAACTGTTGCTAATATATGTCTGTCTGTGTGCCCGTGTGTGGATAAGAATTTCGATATAACCATGAACTCACAATGTATCTTCTTTCCTCCATCGAACTTCCTTTTTGACCACTCGAGAATTATTTGTAAGCTATAATAATTAGATTATTCAGGAAAAATCGACTTGACTTTAAACAATAATTATTAATAAAATCAAGTAAGTCCGATAACATGCGCACTTTCATAATAAAGATTTATAATAAAATACTTGCATATTATTTTTTTCATTTTTTTTAACCTTGTTTCTATCATTTCAATTGCTTTGAGTAGATTTGAATGATATTCTTAAAAATATTATAATATATGATAATATAATAGTTATAAAATGGTATAATATTTAAAAATTGAAAGCCAATAATGAAATTATTGAACTTTGGAAGGTTAAATTTTGATTACACTTTTATGTATAACGCATGCTCGTAATTGTTAATTAAATACTTATTTTATAAATATATAAAAAGGAATATTGTCACACGAATATTTTCGGGCGTATTGTTATATTTATTTAAACATTTATTAAATCTTAATAGTAAATTCTTTGCTCGTACTGCATTCATAGAAAATTTGTCAAAATATTTAAATGTGAAAATTCCCGAATTAACAAAGTAATGTTTATTACTTTTTATAAAAAAATTATTTACTACATCTGATGTAAGTATTAATATAACGAAATCATTTTCTACCTTATTAGTCACTAATTAGTAAAGCTTGCAATAAATTTAGGTATTTAATGAAATTGCTTTATAAAATATATATAACATCTTCATAAATTAATTTTAGTCAATAATTTTTATAAATTCTATTCAATATTAAAAGTGATAATATATAAATCCGTAAAAAGATTGATTAATTAATATTAAAACTGTCCCGAAATAATACATTTGATGTAATCAAAATTAAATTATAAAAGGAAATTTTTTTAACGCAAAAATTGATTTCAAATTTTGTTAATCTAGCTAAAGCTCGATACAATTGCCAGGCACATTGATTTTAATGGCAAAACACTCCTGCCATCGAATATTTTCTCAAATACACATAGATGCCAATGGTTCGTCTATGATTTTCGTTGATCTAACATTGAGAATGGGCGAGACAATCATTTAATACTTTGGAGAATATGCAGGAACTAGGCAAGAGTGTATGTAGCTTCCGTAAAGCTCCGGCATAAAAGAGTCTGGAGTTGTCGATAAAGCATGAAGCCACTTGGCTTCGATCTGATACAACACACCCCACACTCCCCTTTTCCCTTCCCCTTCTTACTTGATTCCCGCTATTCCCACTCCGCCTGAACAATCGGTATCACTCACTTACTTCTCTCTCTCTCTCTCTCTCTCTTTCTCTCGCGCGCGCTTTCTCATTCCCCCTTCATAACCCCCTCTAACTATCTTACTCTATTTCACTCTTTCTCTCTTTCGCGGACTCATTGAGATTTTGAATAGACCCAAAGCCTCGATGAACGCTGAAACCAGGTTAAAACTTGTCGTCGACCACGACAGCATTTACGATCGTTTTCAATCTCGTCTGACCAACATTATTTATAAATATTTTAACAGCTAATATTTCACTTATTAAATTTTATATGTTATTCTGCATTACAATATGAATAATATTATCTATGTTATATATATATATATATATATATATATATATATATATAATTGATAATATCAAGATTCAGAAGTACGCTTGAATCAACAGTTTAACATCACAATATTTGGAAATTTAATTTAATACTGGATAACTAATAGTAATAAGCCATTTCAAACATTTGTAATTCATTTCAGATTAAAATTTAGATTTTGTAAAACTCTTTTCAGTTAATATCGAAGAAGATCTTTTATTTATGTATGAATGTGTTTAAGAAACTTTTAACTTATTTAAACTTATTATATATTTCTTTTAGTTATCTAATCGTACATTTATAAAATTTTGAACTTTATTTAATACCAGTTCGTTATAGAATTATTTTTTTATTACGTTTATTATCAACATTAATTAGAAAATAATACGGCTTAAATAATATTAAATAATATTATATTTCTTATAATGTATTCTGAAAATTGATAGTTATTAGTTTTCAAGAAATATATAAATTTTGAAATTTAACTTTTTACAATATCAATTGTAATGTGCTGTATTTAAATTTTTTAATTTTACATAATTCTTTTAATAACCACTAGCTATATTATTACATGCATTTTTATGATTTTTTTTTTAACAATTAGAATTACATTATACTATTTATTTAACTGTAATTTTAATCGCCGATGAAATACAATTAATGAATTGATTCTCAAATAATAATGTAATGTTACAATTCAAGTTGTATCTTTTACTATGTAAAACGAAATACAATTCAAGTAGGCTGATGGATTAATTTATAATACAGTAGCGAGTCTGCTTACACTTACATTCTATAAAGATATGAATATAAGTACGACCTGGTTTTGACACAAGATATTCCAAGCTCTTGTTAGAACTAAGGATAATAGATATTAATTCATGCAAGTAGAGATAAACAAGATTTTAAAGTAATATTAAGATAACATTAATATAAATAATCATTTATATTAATTATCCATTTTCAATGGATATAAATTACAAAATGAAATTTTTAAAAAAATTTACAGATTAATATATATATATATATATATATATATATCTGCACATATATTTGCAGATATTTGGGAATTAAAAATTTTTCAATCTAAAAAAATTAACTTAAATGTAAAATTTATATATCTATAAAAATACATTTTACGGATGTGTCTAAGCTTTTTAGCAATATTTTACTTTAATACACTCACGCGCGCACGCACACGCACACATATGCATATATATATATATATATATATATATATATATATCATAGTTTCAGTACACATGGGTAGAATAATTTTATCTCCATATCAAATTCAGTAATTCATTTTTTTTAATTATCCTTAATAATATTTTCAGTACGGAATTGTATAATTTTTAGGTTTCATTAAGTATATTATAATATTGTATGAAAAACTTTCAGAAAATTCATTATTTTACTAGATAATCCACTTTAAAAGACCTGTTTCTTTTCTCGATGTTATAAAATCTCATATTTCATTAGTGATATTTTGAGAATAATCTCAAAATTGCAACCTTTCAAGCTGTATGGTATGCTTGTAAAGTCGGTGTTACCGTGATCATATAACTACGATATTAAATCTAAACCAATATAAACTTTTATAAAATGTTCCATGATTTTCTGGTTTCCTCACATCCCTCATATAATAATCGAATTTTCCTCTAAGGTCTAGTCCAAAAAAATAAAAATATCGCATGTATATGCATAAGCTTGTGCTCATAACTTCGGTATCGATCGCATCTCGGCCACGACACTATAACTATACCACGCTTTATAGTAGATACTAAAACAAAGGATAGAAATAAAGAGAGAAAGAGACAAGCAGAGACAGATAGATAGATAGATAGATGATAGATAGAT